CGATATTGAGTTAAGAGTATGAGAAAACACACAGATAAAAAATATTCAAGATGTAACATTGTTTCATGATCTTACCAAGACATAATTAGCTAAATCTCCATCAAACTTAGATGAATCACTATACATGTTTCTCATTAGAACTGGCAAAACAAACAATTAATTGAACATCAAAAACAAAGCAATTATTAAAGAAGATTGATAGGGTTCATACTTACTTTTTCCGAGCGACTGATTAGTCCCGGTGAAGAGAAAAGTTGCGGGGGAAGAATGGTTCGGGTATGGTGTCGCGGCACGGTATTGAGGAGCCGGGATTTGAAGTAGTGGAGTCCATTCTGGTGGATTAGGAATGGCGCAAAACGCTGCTTGCTCTGAAGTGGAATACCTTAAGCCACAAGTTTTCTCATTTAAGCAGCCACATTGACCATGGACAGCGTTGAACTGAGTGTCGAAGAGCATCTGAACAACAAGGAGAAGTAGACAGAGGAAGAAAGGGATCGTGATGAGACGTACATTGCTCCATATGTTCCGTTTCTGCAACAAAGAACAAAAGGCAATAAACCCTCATCGTAAATGTTACTCTCTTCTTGGCCTTTGAAGGTAGCTAATTAAGTAAATCTCTGAGAGAATTTAATAAACCTGGAAGACTAAATTCTTCCTAAGTAAAGCGTCGGCTTGAGTCAAGAAACTTGCAGGACTCGAATCCGCCATAACCGGGAATGTAAGAAGATTTTTATAGAATCGAATAGTTTTGTGAAATGTTTTCTTGGATGGTATACATATAACAACACCAAGAAGGACATAGAATTCTAATAGCTTAGTAGAATAACTATTATCAGTAAAACCAAGAAATAAGGGACGACGTATATTAACTTTTACACGTTACTGAAGTGTCATTCAGGTATTGGACAATGGTACTATGTTTTCTTTAGATCTATTTCGTGTAATTCAAGTAAATAGTCTTCCTTGCATCACTGACTCAAGAAATATACTTTTTACCTAAACCTATACAAATACGCATATGATAAGACAAATTTGGCTTCATTGCCACAAGCGAAAATCTCAACCACTTCGATGATATATGTGTATTCTATAGAAATTGATCACTAACCTTACTTAACCAACAAAGTAAACCAACGTGAAATCTCATTGAAATTTCACCAACTTGTAATATATTTCCAGTAATATACACGAAATCTTTCAATCACTAACTTTGTAGTTTGTATCATATAGTAGTAGCTGCACAAACAAATATTGACGTTGGAGGTATTATAAATCCCCAATCTAAGAGAAGACATTAAAGGCCTGACCAGTTCTTGCAACCTTGATGAATACATCTTCAAGAGTTGTGTCTGCAAGTCCCCAAGCAAACACGGTAAAGTTGCTCTTCGCCTTCTCCACTGCCTGAAACACCTCTGAGATCCGAACCTCCTCCTTTGGAAGCTCAAACTTTTGGGTCCCCGCGATGTGATATATCTTCTTGGCGTTTGGAGAGACATCTTGAATCAGCTTCTCCACGTTTCGCTCGTGTTCTGATGAGGTTGTCATCGTAAACACATAAGATCCACCATACCTACCCTTTAGCTCTTTTGGGTTGCCAATGCATTGCAAGCTTCCGTCTACAAAAATCCCCAATCGGTCACAAAGATATTCTGCTTCTTCCATTGAATGAGTAGTGAGGATTATGGCAGTGTGTTGTTTTGCACGCTTGATGACAGTCCATAGGTTCTTTCTCGAGGCTGGATCAAGTCCTGTGCTTGGCTCATCCAAATAAACCACCTAATTTAGAGAATGATTAATCAGAAATTGGATTTGTTAATAACTAACTCGAGCTTCATAAAAATCACATAACTAACAAGAATGTACGTACGTACCTTTGGGTTCCCGATAAGCGATATGGCCACACTAAGCCGCCTTTTCATACCTCCGCTGTATTTGCCAGCAGGTTTATCAGCAACTCCTCCGTGAAAAAGGTTGACACTTTTAAGAGACTCTTCTACAGCCTAATGCAAGGTAAATAACGATCGATTGATCATCCATGAAATTGACATTTTGATAACATTTGGAGTAATACAGCCTAATGATAACATACTTGGGTGAGATCAGAGCCTTTGAGATTCTTAAGTCTCCCGTAAAACAGCAGATGTTCTCTTCCTGTCAGCGTCTCCCAGAGCAAACTGGAATACAGTAAGAGAATGATAAAACAATAAGAAACTGTTTTCTTTCTTGGCGAAGAACAAAATGAAAAATTTCAAGAATGTAAATTACTCGTGCTGCGGGCATACGCCCATGCTAGTGTATACTCTGTCCATATCATTGCATATATCCAAACCTTGAACAAGCCCTGTCCCAGATGTTGGTTTCAGGAGCCCAGTCATCTAGCAAGGAAAAATACAGTACATATTATTACTAAGGCTACACAGTTATAATCTGAAACACAATTCTTTTGGGTGTATACTAGAACAGAGTTTGTGGATCAGCAGAGATATTAGAAGCAAAGCTCAATTGAGCACAAAAGATTTTGTCCAATTGGGTACTGACCATATTGATGAAAGAGGTCTTGCCAGCACCATTGGGCCCTAACATGCCGAAGCATTCTCCTGAAGGCACAGCAAGAGATAACCCTCTAACTGCCATTTTCGGCGGATTTCCATCCCTACCAGGATACACCTTCTTCAGGTCGTCACATACAATTGCATGGCTTGTGCTCGGCTCAAGCATCAACTGCTCGACTTTTTCTCTCTGATTTGATCAAAATGATTTTTTTTTTATATCAGAACCAGCATTATCAAGAACATGAAAACACATTGTCAAATCCTTCTGTCATACCTCCTGAGTGACATCTGGTTTATCCATTTCTACGAAGACTTTGGAGCCTTGTCTCTGCAAACTAGGCCTTCGCAGAGAGGGGGATTTCTTGAAAGGGTTTTTCAAGAAAAACAAAGGGTCTTTTCCAGATGAAGAAACCTTATCGATATAGTATGCTGCAATGAGTGCGACAAACCACTCAACGATAATGATGTAAAAAACTTCATCCATTGCACTATCACTGAAATCTTTCCACTTCATCCCATCGTGCCCTCTCAAGTTTCCCATGAAAGCAAATTGTGAGAATTCATAAAGCCCACGGTATAAGGAGAAACCAGGATACAACTCCATGACAACAATCCAGCCTCCTGGAAAAGTATAATTGTTTTTGCAATCGGGGTTAGAATAAACACATATAATAACTGTCTCGAACATCGTTCTTCAAGATAATAATGTTAATAACTTACTAGGAAATGATGAATCTTCAATCAGAAACTGGAGTAGAAACAAGCCCAAAAGTCCAGATCCAAACACGTATATGTAAGCAGCAACTATAATTTAGACATAAGAGAAAGCCCATTAATTCCTTTAAACCCCAACATGTTCTTCAACGTTCAAGAAGTACGATTTTTATACCTGTTGATGTCTTGACCTTTGAAAATATTGAAGAAACTAGAAAGACAAGGGAGATTTGCAGGTTTACATAAAGAAAATAGAAAGTGAACTGGATACTGTAGTCATTGAGCCGAAAGAACTTCAGTCCTGCAAGAAACCAACAACTATAATAATCCCAGAGAAGTGAACAAATTTGATATTGAAAAACATTATGTAAGAACTGTATTGACAACGAGGCTTCAGTTACCTATTGCTGACCCAAATATCATCAGGCAAATAAAGTACAACATGGATATGGTAAGAAAATAGGCGTAGGAAATCATCCAATATGGACCATCTCCTAGGCCATGCATTTTCATTATGATTCTTAGACGCTCCTGTTTCTCATAGACCAATGATGACAAGATCACCTGCATACAAATGGCTCTTAGTATGAAGTTCACGCTTGATAGACTTCATAAAAAGCAGGATTCTTGTCCTTTCAAAGATTTATGGATCATTATACTCAAGGTGAATATTTGTGGAATAAAGCCTAAAGATGTATATTGAAAAGCAAACTTACAGGGAACAGAAGAAGAATAACCCATGTGAAGAAAAGGGGGCCAATTAAGGACGCGATGTCTAAACGAAGACTGGTTTCTGATTTAGGCACTTCTTTAATATATTCGAACAACATCCTTGTTCCCGGACCATGCATAAACTGAAGGTAAGCATTTGACACCTGCAGTTTGGCAAAGTGTAAGCATCAGTTCAGTCATGAATAGGGTCCCAAGAGCATATTGAAAATGCAATGATGAAGATGTCTTGAGTAATTTTCTTACCAAATTGACTGAGCGGGCAACTCGGACCAACTTTGCAGGCCTATTTCCTGATTCGTCCTTGTATGTTGAATTATACAAGATGTGCACATTAAAGTTGTTCCTATCCGTGTTCAAAAGATCGTATGCTAAGGGAACAAGAAAGCAGACAGGATGAGTCAGAAATCTCATGTGCATATAATGCATTGTTATAGATAAATGACAGATAAGTTGAACAAACCTGCAGTAATCTCATTTATTTTCCCCTCAGGATTTCCTTTCCGATAACCCTTGAATATCTCATCATTAACCTCTATGGAGCTATTTCGCCAGAGATTCAATCCTTTAGCACATGTCAACTCTGGTTTTGACACAAGCATTATATTAATCGACTGCAACAAGGTCTCCTTAGAAGATAATTTTGAGTGAGAACAATAAATGGAAGAAAGAAATATTATGCTTTTGACAAACTTGGGACCAGATTACATTAAGCTAACGCTGATACAATTTCTCTCCTTAGAACCGCGGATGTAAACAGAACATATCTAACATTCAGTACCATCTAAAGGAGCTGAAACTTTATACCTTTCTTAAACTGGAGAGGTGGTTGTCCGAACGAGAATGGCAATGTAGCGTTTGGAATGCACTCAGATTGGATGTTGTAGATGGTAAGATTTGAGGCAATCCCTGGATCAAGATAATTGGTGAAATCTGCGTCTGCTGTTGTACCCTGATAAAATGAGCTAAAAAAGCTAAGACACAAGTTCATAGTGGGGGGTTAAAAAACAGAACACAGACCAGACAACTTACCAAGACATTATTGGCTAACGTAGGCAAAAGGTCGGAGGAATTAACCGAAAAAGAAGTAGGGAAGATATTCGCAGATAAAGCTGGAAAAAAGAGACATGCAGTTCGTAACTTTCACTGCAAGCAACCTAAAAGAAAATAGAATAAAAGGAGCTTATAGGCATAATTAATCATACCTTTTCCAAGAGGCTGTTTATCCCCAGTGACAAGTATAGTTACAGGACAAGATCCTGTTCTTCTGCAAGATTCAGTAGGAAAGTCTTTATTCCGGGAGAAATCCGAAATAACAGCACGGCTTTCAGGGCGCGGAATTTGTAACAATGGAGGCCATGGCGGAGGACTAGGAATAGAACAAAAGAATGCTTGTTCGGGAGTCGAATACTCTATACCGCAAGTCTCAACGCATTTCCCGTCTCCATTCGTGCCGTTAATGCATTGACAGCCGCATCGATTTTCATCAGAGTTATTAACCTGTGTATCGAACAGGACTTGAACGACCACTAGAAGTACGCAGAGGTAGAAAGGGATCATGATAAGACGAACATTGCTCCATAAATTCCGTTTCTACACACACACACATGCGAATCAGAAGTAGAGATACTAAATACAAAATTTGGTTTGGATTTCACAGGTTTTAAAGATTTAACCAAAGCAACCGATTCTCGCAATCAACATCAAATTCAATCTAATCGTAGCAAATATATGTCCGATATTCAATGAACGAGCCATTAATTTGTTCCCTAAATAGCGAAAAGATGTTCGAATCAATAGTTACTCTCATTATACGTTTCTACGCACGTACACGAAAACTCAGACGAAACTCAAACGCAAACCTGATAGGTTAAGTTTTTCCTAAGCAAGGCATTGGCTCGGGTGGAGAAACTAGCGGGAGCAGAATCCGCCATTGATTCGGTTACCTTCTCCTTTCTGTCTTCCCTCTAACTTAATTGGATTAGGTTCTCTGTTTGGGTTAGTAAAATTGAATCCTAATTTTCAACTGTATTTATTAAGTAACAACTCACCGCCTTTTGGTCATATTCATATAGCAGAACGGAGATCAGATACTACGGGTATGTGAAATTACATTAATACCCCTAATGCACACGCTTTGTATGGAGTATTAAATTTTTTTTTCAGTTAATTTCCACAAAAATATATAGTTATTAACTTTTTTGTGTTGGGCTTTTTCTTTTGGTCAAACAAAGAGAGGTAAATTCAAAGAAATGGAAGAGGAGAGTTTTGTTTTTATTTTGTTTTTAATTGGCATACTAGTATATTAGTATATGATTAGTGCGTCATCTCAGACGTAATCATGTTGGACTTGGACCGTCGTAATAATTAAACTAATCGATTTTAGTATGTCACGTAATTTGGTCGGGTAATTTGGTGCTCGGGTAATATGGTTGACTATGATATTTTTCTGACCACTTATTTAAAAATATATAAATAATAACTTTGTTCAAATTCAAATGGACAATTGCTAGTATCTGCTAGTTATCCTATGTGCTACTTACTTGGACAAGAAGCAATGCATGATCTGATGATAGAAAAGTAAAATACATATTATGATGTCACAAGAAAAGACTTATTCAGTATTAAAACAAATGGACAATTGCAAAAATACCATTTTTGGTATGTACATTTGCAAAAATGCCGATTATCTATTTACAAACAGAATGCCACTAATTATGAATTTTTTATAGCCTAAATCTTAATTCTAAACATTAAAAAATGTTTTGACTACTACAAACCCCTAAATCTTCAAAATTAAACTCTAATACAACATAATTAACCCAAACATAAAAGATATAATGAGTTTATAATTTTTAAAAAATGGCATTTTTGCAAAGATTTTGAAAATGTGGCATTTTTGAAAAGTGGCACTTGAAAAATGGCATTTCTCAAAATTTCTCTAAAACAAAATCTTGGGACTTAGGCAATCAATCTTGCACATTTACGGTATACGATATACTGTTTTTGTACTCACCAATCGCAAAAACGATATAAAAATGTTATACTAACAGATCTAAAAATTATTTTTATGGAAATC